TATATATATATATATATATATATATGTTTATTTATATATATATAGAGGAGTGGCTGTTCACTACATTTTTTTTTTTTTTTCGTTTTGTTTTTTGTTTTTGTTTCTGCGGCCTTGACGTTTGACGCATGTGTGTTTTGTGTTGTGTGTGTGTGTGCGCGCGCTTATTTATTTTATTTTATTATTATTATTATTATTATTTTTTTTTTATTGTTCCAAAAACAAAGTAAAATCAGGCGAAGAAGGAGGCGATGTTGTAAACTTTAGCACGTTGAAGATGAGACGCGAGTAGGGTGGTGGTGGGTGGCTGCTGCGATGACGGCGGTTTTCCCTGCGCCTGGAGGAGAGGGGAAAAAATATACACAAAAACAAAAGATAAGATTTAATAATAATAATAATTTTAAAAAAAAAGTGCCGTGTTGGGGAAGAAAAAATGGCGGGTGCGGTTTTGTTTGTGTATTTGTGTGTTAATTTGTATGTGTTTCTTGTTGTCACTCGTCCTTCGTCTCACCATCGTTCGTCCACACCCCTCCTCGTCTTCTCTTCCCTCATCCTCCTCCCCTCTGCTTCTGCCGCTGCCACCGCCGCGCGCGCAGAAGAAAGAGGATGAGGGAAGAGAAGAGGAGGAGGGGTGTGGACGATTTCGGGAGGAGGAGGGAAATGCAACGACCACCGCCTCGCCAGCCCACTCACACGCACACACACACACACACACACGCAGGGACCCAGCCATTATTAAAACACCTTTTGGGTATTAATCCATGCGTTTTCTCTGTGTGTGCATTTACGTGAGCGTGCGTGTAATGGGTTTGTTTTGTTTGTTTTTGTTTGTTTGTTTGTGGGGGTGGGTGACAAGGGCAACTCCCCGCCGCAGTGCTGGGGCGAGACTTTTCCTGCTCTGTCTGCATGTTTGTCTATCTCCCTTTCCTGTTCCCACTCACACATGTGTGGGGAAAACACCTCTACGCCGCGGTATCCAACGCAGGGAGACGCGGAATAGCAACGACAGCGACGAGCGAGAAAGATACACAAACACACGTAACAAAAGACCCTCGACCATAGAGAGAAGGCAGGGAGGCAGGCACAAAGAAGGGATGAAGGCGGTACCGCAGTTTGAGAGTTCGAGCTCCGCGCTGGCCTCACCGAGTGTCATGAAGACGCTGCTCAAGTCCGGGCGCAATAAGGAGTACAACGTCACTGTGCCCTCCGCCACTATGACCATTCGGGAGATTCAGGATAAAATCCCGGCGAAGTTCTTCGAACGTAACACTGCTCGCAGCCTGCTGTTTCTGCTACGCGATCTTGTACAGGTGGCGGTGACGTACGCCCTCATGTACGCCGTCGCTTTACCCCTCGCCACCTCGCTCGAGGCCGCGGCTGCCGCGTATGCCGCCGGTGCATTGAACGATGCTGGAGCCTCGTCGTCAGTGGCGGCAACAGTTCTTGTCAGCGCGGCATGGCTCTTCAAGGCTCTGCTGTGGGGTGTCTTTTGGTTTGTGCAGGGGCTTAACGGCACCGCCCTGTGGGTCCTCGCCCATGAGTGTGGCCACCAGGCATTCAGCCCGCTGAAGAGCCTGAACGACGCTGTAGGGATGCTGCTGCACTCTGCGCTGCTCGTGCCGTACCATAGCTGGCGCATCACTCACGGCATGCACCACAAACACACCAACCACCTCACGAAGGACCTTGTATTTGTGCCAATGACGCAGGACAGGGTTGTGGAGCTTGTGGAGGAGGCACCGCTGGTGACGCTTTTCAATCTGCTGCTTATGTTTTTCTTCGGCTGGCCGGCGCATCTGCTGGCGAACGCCTCCGGGCAGGACTTTGGGCGATTCACGAGCCACTTTGACCCCACCGCCCCCTTCTTCCGCGGCGAGGATTACCATGACGTGGTCGTCTCCGACCTCGGCGTCGCCACAGCGCTGTTGGTGATGTTCTCCAGCGTCCACCACTTCGGCCTCGCCAACATCTTCTGTTGGTATCTGGCGCCGTACCTTTGGGTGAACTTCTGGCTGGTGTTCATCACCTACCTACAGCACACCGACATCCGCATCCCGCACTACACGCACCAGCACTGGACGTTTGTCCGAGGCGCCCTGGCGGCGGTCGACAGGGACTACGGCGCCCTCCTCAACACGTGGCTGCACCACATCAACGACTCTCACGTCGTGCATCACCTCTTTAGCAGAATACCACACTACAACGCGATTCAGGTGACGCGGCGGCATATTCGCCACATCCTGGGCGACGCGTACGTCACCGATGCCCGGCCGCTGTGGAAGGCGCTCTGGAGCCCGGCGAGGGAATGCCGCTACGTTGTCCCCGCTGACGGCATTTGCGTCTTCTACCAGTGAACCTGCACGGCGTACTTACAATCATATGCGCATGCGCATGCACATGTATAATATATTATATATATATATATATAATATAATATAATATAATATAATATAATATATCAGAAAGGGAAGGGAAGGGGGGGGGGAAAAAAAAGTAGTGTTAGTACCAAAGACAATAATAAGAATAACATTACTAATAATAACGATGATGAATGATGGTGCTAGGCATCAGGTGTCTCTGACTGCGCGGTGGCAGGAGCGACAGGTATGGGGGCGAGACAAATTTTCCACCGTTGCGAGAGGAGAAGGGAGGGCAAAGTAACGCTGCACATTATTTTCTGGCACGCACGCAAGTGTGTCTGTGTGTTTGGGTGCAAAAGAAAAAACAAAAAAAACAAAAAAACAAAAACAAAAACAAAAACAAAAACAGAAGAGGGGATGGGCCATTCGTGGCGTTTTTTCTTTTTGCGTCTTTGCCTGTTTGTGTGTGTGCATCTCTCTTTTTTTTTTGCTTCTTCCTTTCTCTGCGTGTTTGCCCGCCTCCCGCCTCCGTTGAACGCACACCAACGACGAGGGGGAAAACAACAAGAACCACTCGCCAAAGAAGAGTAACACGGAAACAGCCGAAGAGAACGAAGCGTGCTGCGCTTGCTCTTCTCCCTGGTGCCTCCCACCACCACCACCACCCACCACCCGGCCGTGTACACGTCTCCTCATGGAAGCACAGTGACGGGCGCAAAAAAAAAAAAAGTATAATCTGCCCCAGTCACTCTCTCACTGTCTGTTTGTGCCTCCGCACGGTGGGTGGCCAACGGCTGGCGGTGGTGGGTGGTGTGAGGGCTGCCGCAAACAAAATCCAGCTGACGCTGGAGAGATTGAAGGTGAAAGAACCCCCCACTCCCAAAAAAAAAAAAAACAGAAAAACAACAACAAGCCAGTTACTCGCCTTCGTCGTTTTTCTTTTCTTTTTTTTTTGTTTCTACTCGCTGCGGGGCACAAAAAAAAAAACACCTCCGTGGCCCAACATGCATACACCGCGTGTACGTGCGTGTCTGCCCCTGTTGATGGGTGAAACGAGGGGGCTCTCCAT